GAATTTAAAATGTACATGAATAATAAAAGAATATTATCGGGTGTTATTAATATGATGCTATTTTGAAGGGCCTAAATTAATCTATGCTATTTTAAAGAGGCCAGATTAATCTTTGCTATTTATGAATAAATACATATATTTGTGTTACAACAATTTTAATTATATGTTAATTATAAATTGCAAAATAATCTTTCAATAAAATTGGCATTAGAACAACTTCTATTTTTTTTTTTTTTTCATTAATGGAGAATAGCACACAAGAAAAAAATACTAATATACTAAAGTTACACATATTATACTATTAGAATTAATGCAAAACTTAGATTAAAACGAAAGTTTAACTTTAAAAAAAAATCTAGAAAAGAATAAAATTGATCATCAAAACAAAAATATTTCAGCTTTTAACAAAAGAAATTTTTACTTTTATATTAAACCAGTCTCAATGTTCACAATGAAGAGTTTCAAATAATATAAGTACCACATACTTCATTTATCTTTAAATCTCTATTTAAAAAGACTCTATAATTATTTAATTTATGTAAATTTAATACAATGAATTTAATACAATATTGATCATAGAATATATGAAATATTTACTTAAGTTTTTTAGTTGTAAAGGTATGGAAAAGGAATACTTAACATTGCTAATTATTTATAGATCAAAGTAAAGGGCCTAAATTTTCATGTTGATATATTCTAAATATATTTTAAAATTAAACATAACGTAGCCAACTCTTTGTTGTTATTACAATAAATGAAAATAATTTTTACAAGATAGTGTCTTAATGTAATGTATATCATTACAGATAGAACTCTAAACAAACAAAAGTATGAAGAGTGATATATTATAATAATAATATCATTTATTTTTATAGGGTTAAACTAAGTAGAAAGCAATTGTTACTTCATATCAGAACTTATTTTTGTTTATTCAAGTTCAATGGTCTTTGTAACATATTTTTATTTTAAGAAAAAAATAAAATAAAATGGAAAAAGTTATTTTTTGGGAGTAAAAAAAGTAAATTTTATTCTGTGGCATTTAGTTCCATAAGAATAACAATAATGGATAATGAAGTGTCATTTGTCTGGCATAAGATAACAATCAAGAATTGATTAAATTATATAGTTATCTATACCTTAATAAAGAGGTTTTAAAATAAAGAAAAAGCTCGAGTAAACGTTGAAATTATAGATAATTTAATTAACTCATTAAATATATATGAGTTTGTTCACATATTTGTACTAATAAGCAATATAAATAATATATAATGTGGCTGGTAGCTCTAAAATACAGAAATACTATTCTTACATATATTGGAAAGATTGACTGTTGAGGAAGATGATAAGGATGATGAGTATGATTATGGAGGTAGGCAGGGAATTCAAAACAAGGTAGCACATATGACAAAGGTAGCACACATTTTTTTTTAAAGGAAATAATTCTATGAAAAGGAATAAACAGATTTGCGTGTTGGGATCAGGTGTTGAAGAATGAACAGAATAACAGATCAAGAAGGTAAGAAAGTTTTTTAGTTGTAAATGTTTGGAAAAGGAATACACTGAGGAAATATAACCATCACAAAAATGGGTAGAGCCAGTTCAACTCAGCATACCAACTGGAGACATAGGAGCATATGGGGATTCAAAATATGAATATAATGAAAGAACTCATTAATTTCTTCAGTCTGATCTCAAGCCCATCAGACAGTCCACCATTTACAAGGCAGCCATAATCAAAGTGGGAAAAATGAGATAGGAAATTAAGAGTTGGCGGGTTTTAAGGATCATGGAATCTCGGGACCTATTTTAGGGTAGCAATAGATTTTCAGATAATTTGGTAAATATGATTATTCCAGGACAAATATTGATCAAAAATGACTCCAAGATTTCTAACAGAAGTGTAAAAATGAATAGGTAGTCCATTGAGGTAGAGTATGAGATAGGAATGGGATTAATAAAATGCGTAGAACCAATAAGAATGGCTTTGGCCATCTCAACATTCAACCTCAAATCATTGCTCGCTGTCCAAGCATTAATACTATCTATATCTCCTGTAGCCTTAAGATTGGATCAATAATCTTGGTAGGATGGAAGGAAAAATAGATTTGGTCTTCAGCATATAAGTGGTATTGTGAATGATAAATGGAATCAGGAAGGTTGTAAATATAGTTGGAGAAAAGAGTTGGAGAGAATGAAGATGCCTGAGGAATCCCCATAGTTAGTAATAGGGGGAGGAAAGAGTTTTATTTGGAATGATATCTGTTTGGGACCTGTGATACAAGAAGGAATGAAACCAGAAAAAAAAAGCTAGAAAGCTATTCGATATGGAAAGGTTTTGGAGTTTAGAAAGCAAGATTTCATGATTAACTAAATCGAAGACTTTTGAAAAATTAAAGAAAATCAGGATAGGGATTATCTGCTTGTCTATGGAGAATTGAAAGTCTAGGGTAATTTTCAACAAAACAGATTGGGTAGAGAACTGGGATCGGTAACCAGACTGGAGGGGATTGAGGAGAGCTTTTTGCTAATCATTCAAAAGATTTTAAAAGATTGCAGAGAATATAGGTGGGTCTGAAATCGGAAACTTTGCAGGGAACCGCAACTTTTTTTAACGGGAAGACTATTACTTTAAAAAAAAAAAATGGAAAACGAAATTTTGTAAGGAAAATTTGTAAAGATGAAAAGAAGAGATAGTTTGATTACCTTCACTGGAAATAGATCCAGACCATAGTTAGTCGTTCTGGATTTGAGGACAAAGGAAAGTAGGTATTCCAGAGAAATATTTGTAAAATAAGAAATTTTCAAGGTCAAGGAAGTTTTTGGAAAGCAGAATGAGGAGAAAGGTATTCAGATGAATTTGGGAAAGTAGGAATTCAATTGATCTTGAGAAACAGGACAGGAGAAACAGGGTTCTGAATTTACAACAGAGAGATTTTTAAGGATTTTCCATCTGGACTTAAATCTGACGCTTGTGAGAGGGAAATATGGAAAAATCGTTTCTTAGCACATCGCGATTGGAAGATTGTGTAAGGTTTCGAAGGGTATTGAAAGACATGTGATCATCCGGATTACGTGAAAGTCTGAAAAAAACGCCTTCTAACAGCAACTCTTATCTTTATTAGCTCTCTGATTTCAGGATTTGTCCAGGGAGAACGTTGATTCGGGAATAGGAGAAGATTGGAGGAAATACACTCCACAGTCGATGGAGGAATAGGAATAGATGGAATCTATGGAATGGACTATTGATTCCAGAAAAGGGTGTGGTTTTTCAAAGATTAATGAGTGTTGACGTTGGTCCCGCCAAATTTGCTTAGAAATGAACTTAGGAGTCGGGAAGTTATAGGATATCTTGATGAGATCATGGTATGAAATGAAGGAAACATAATTTTGAAAGGTGGATAATAAGTTTTGAGTGGAAACAATTAAAAGAAGGTCGAGCCATGTATTCGAGAACTGGTTAGGGTGAGTAGGTTGATAAGGAACGATAAATTGATCAAGAGAATGGATTAGATCTATAAGGTATGATTTGTCAGGAGAGTCGGAAGATGAATTAGCATTAAAGTCGCCGGTTATTACAATATTATTGTATAAAGGAACGTAGGTATTAAGGGAGGATTCTATAGCAAGAACAAATTGGAGTTGGGTAAGGCGATATGTAATGATACAGAGGAAGGAAAATGAATCTGAAGATATTTCTGCAAATGAATACTCTAAATGAGGAGTTTCGGGATAGGAAGACATGTGATGGACTTTTGTCTTCAGACTTTCATCAACGTAAAGACCAACACCACAACCTGATCGGTCCGTTAGATCATGGCAAATAAGGGCGTTGCTAGAGATGGATATGCAGGAAGAGAAAACATTTGGTTTCAGCCAGGTTTCTGAAGCGGCAATATGATAAAAATTATGGAGGTAAAAATCAAGGAACTCATCAAAGTGGGCCGAAAGAGATTGGAGTTAAACTTGGCAAATTAATAAGTCTTATTATTTTGCTAGTTGTTGAAAAAATTATTCTGAAGAATTGTTCAAAAAAGTTCGTTGTCATGTTTGCTACATAAGTGTTTTTGTGTTCATTTTGTTTATCAGTAATAAGGGGGATATCCCCTTTATTTTCGGAGAAATTATAAATGAAAGCCGTGGTAGTTATTTACATTTTTACACATGAGCATAGGATGCATCTAGTACACATACATAAGAGTACTCAAACAGCTTTATAAAACAAACACACTATAACTTTAAGTTAGAAAATATTTATTTGAGATAGTGTAAATCAACAGATACTTCCAATTATTGCCTTGTTTGAACACTAAGTGCGTTGCGTTCTAGCTGGCCGCTTGTGTGTTACAGCAGCTAGGTTACCGTAGAAAAGTTAATAAAACCCCAATTCATGTATAACTTATTTCTTTTACCATAAGCGCTTTTGAATAATTAAAAGTAATTATAGTATGTAAAAGACAAGATAATATTGAAGATTGTAATGTTGTAAACCTGAAGTTTTATTTAATAAGGTGTTGAAAATAAAATATTTTTCTTGTTATTATATAATATTTGTAACCCATTGTTTTTAATATATGAAAATAAAAATCACTGGCCTGGAATGTTTATTTGTTCGTACCATCAAAGAATTGTATCTAGTTCATCTATATTTTAAAAAATATTTTATGTATTTCGATATACAACAAAACTTTAAGTTAGTATGAGATTAATCTAAAAGTAAATATAGTAGCTGACTACCGATCTAAATTGTTCATTATTCATGGTGCACAATGTAAAAGTGTGTAAGGTGGGTGTAGAGAAACGTTGAGTAGTTATCCAAGTAGAGACAATCTCTTGAAGAATTGACCATAGTTGCGATTCATGGAAAAATGGGAATATGGGCTATATTCTTAGAAGTAACTAGGTATTTTTAAATATAATCAAGAGTGTATATTGTCAATTATTAGTTACTAAAGTAATGTTTGTTACTAAGGTTATAGGTGAACAAGTAAGACAATAAAGTATTATTTTTTCACATATTTATTCATTAAAACTACATCTCTATAATAATTATTATTTTACTATGAGTATTTTATGATTAGCAATAAAAAATAAAACTGTTTTCACAGCAGAAGTAAATTTAGTTGAGGTTGTTTTCTTGGACTGGGAACCAAGCTGCGCAGGCTTCGGATGCAATTTCGCACATTGTGGAAAGGGCTTTGCCGGCGTTTTCATAGTCTAGGAAAATATAAACATTATCATTAAAACACTGAAAATTAATATTTTATAAGCTGGAATAGGTTGTTAAAATCCAGAAATCAGTCTTATAACATTGTTGGTAAAAGTTAAAAGATTAAAGGTTGTGGTTGATATAAGTACCTGTTGGTGGTCCGGACCTCTTGCCGAAGATGCTACCGTTGAAGGGTGGTTTCTTGTAGGATGCAGAGGCGACGTCGAAGACGAGCATGGCGAAGGCGATGACGAGGAAAGAGAGAAAGAGTACTCGAGACATGTCGAAGAGTTGGTGGTGGTAAGAAGAGTAAGAAGAGTCTATAAGAAAAATATTGTAAATATGGAATAAAGTACAATGGAAAATAATAGTAAGAAATAATAAGTATAATGGTATGTTTGCTAGACTACGATAGCAAAGGAAAGATGATTGTATTGCTTACTCAGTGAGAGAAGCTGGTGAACTGATGACCATCGGAAGGCTGGCAGGGGTTTATATAGCAGGAAACCTCCCTCTGTAACTGAATTATTGGAGCTGTAATAGGTTCCAAGTCCCTGGTGAATTACTCCCATATACCTTGTCTTATGATATGAGCCTTTTATTATAAGTCGTATATATACGAAGTAAAAAACGAAATCACCAATAAAAAAATAATAGCGCTTTGATACTAAAACGCTTTAACATATTATAAATAAAATATCCAGGATACATTAGTAAGGGAATCGTCGTACGGTGGAGTCAATGATCTTATAACTTGGACAAAACACGAAAAATTTAAATCCAGATATTAATTATGTTAATTTACACAGGGCCTCCCGTAATTAGAAGGAAATTTTTATTGGAGTGATAAAAGGCCTAAGAACTACAAAAAAGTTTATATAAATATTCGTCCTATATTCGGCAGCATAGAATATAAAATTTAAGTTTTGTGTTTTTTAAGTGTCACCGTTTCTTGTTGAAAAGGAAGCAATAAATAAAAAAATATTTAATTTAAATAATTAATAATTGCTACTTAGGAAACTATACAAAATCTAGTTCAAATAAAATTAGGCTTTGTCCTTGTTAAAATCATTTATAGAGGACTATAGAACGGCTAAACTAAAATAAATCCTGTTTTTAAAAAAAGAACATAAATTATTTGCGATTTTTTTCCATCATTCTTCAACTATACAGACACGAGCGGATCTACGGGGGAGGGGGGACAGGGAGGGACTTCAGCCGCAAAGTCCAAAATGGTAAAATATTATCATGTTTTATAGACAAAAATATTAAAAAATTATCTCTTAAAGTATTATTGTTCGTGTAATCACATTTAAAAGGACTTTAGGAATCACTTAAACACCATTTCATATAGGTAGTTAGTTTCTTTCTTTTTTTCCAAAATGATTATCGTTATTTTAATGAAAAAAAAAAAGCTTGCGGGCTGAAGTTCCCCTCAAAATTAAATCCTGGATCCGCTAGTGTATACAGATAAAAACTTTTATAAAAACTGCCTCGTTTTATAAGCTTTAAGTTCATATTAATTAAGTTGAGGTTTATTAGAAAAAAAATTGAGATTTATCTCAAGTTGTGTAAAAAAAAATCTGGTGTGCCCACTCACACGACTTTCCTACCTATTTCAGAAAAGTTTTTATATCTTTACATGTATCTTATGTACATGTATCTTACATGTACATTATATTTTTATATCTTTACATGTCCATCAAGAAACAAAAACAAATTCAATTAGATTTTCCTGAAAATTGATCAAAGAAAAGAATCGACAACGATTTATTCGATAAACTAAAGCAATGTTAACCGGCTTAAGGTTGATCAGTGTAAAAATTTCAATATCCTCTAATATTACTGTTTCTGTTAAAAATAGAGGAAATAGTGAAGTTTGTGTGATACGGGCAACAGATTTTCTTACTTTCACTTAGTTATCTTTTTTCTCTCATTCACCCCTTACTGACACCAAGATATGAACCCGTAAACTTACATTGGAAATTGAATAGCTGTAACTTCGTTAATAGTTGTCCGAAATGAACAATTTTTATACAGTTTTGTTGGTTATTTAATTACCTTTCAAAAGTTTTATTATAAATTTTACCATAGAATATATACTTAGCGAGTTAGGCCCCAAAACATTTTTCTTTTCTTTATAACTTTTTTTACTGATTTTTTTCGGAAATTTAGTCCATATACAAAAATTAAAATGTTTGAAAGTAAAAATGTGATCTATATCATGTTACCTAAAAGTGTCCATGTATTCAGCAAAAACACTACAATAAATTGTTACAAATCTGTTGTCTCTTGTTTTTCCATGATCTATAAACATAATCACCTAAATGCACTTTTGATTTCTAAAAAAAAATGTTAAAAATAATGATTTTTTGATTATTCACCATCTAGTTTGATAATGAAAAATGGTGTTTTTACTAAGATCTCCATTACAGAAATTGATCCGTATTTATAAGTGACGAAATAAATGTTTCTAGTCCTAAGATTTCGCTTTAAAATAAAGTAACCTACTGATTGCTTCAATCATTTCCATAAAAACGTAAATATTAGAATCAGAAACATTTATTTTATCAGTTATAAGCACTAGCGGATCCAGGATTTAATTTTGGGGGGGGCTTCAGCCCGAAACCTTTTTTTTTTATAAAAATAACGATAATTACTTTGAAAAAACAGAAAGAAACTAACTACCTATATGAAATGGTGTTTAAGTTATTCTTTAAGTACTTTTAAATGTAATCACACGAACAATAATACTTTAAGAGGTATTAATTAAATTTTTTTTCCATAAAACATGGATATATTTTTCCATTTTGGGGGTGCTTCAGCCCGAAAGCCTCCCCCGTAGATCCGCCCGTGGTTATAAGTATGGATAAGTTCCTACATTAGAAAACTGGGTAAAAAAAAAAGTTATATAATCCACTTTAAACAAAACATATTTGAAAAATCATTATTTTTAACACTGTTTTGTTAATAAAAAGTGTATTTAGGCGATTCATTTTACTATAATACATCCCAGATCATAAGAAAACAAGAAATAAAAGCTTCACAATAATTTATTGTTGTCAATTTTGCTGAATACAAGTCAAGTTTTAGGTGACAGGGTGTAAAATTCATAATTTTTTTACACAACTTGAGGTGAATCTCAATTTTTTCCCGAATAAACCTCAGCTTAATTAATATTGACTTAAACCTTCCGACAGTAAATTCCTAAATCCACGACATATACACTACATTTTATTCTTCAACTCAAAACCAATCTTTCAATTCGCTAGTTCTTTCAATTTCTCCCTCAGTTGACCGAATGACTAACCCCAATTTCATCATTTTTGAACATAGAAGGATCTATGGGAGGGGGAGGTTTTCGGCCTGAACTCCCCCAAAATCGAAAGACATAACCATGTCTTATAAAACAAATATTAAAAACTTATTTCTAAAAGTATTATTTTTCGTGTAATTATATTTAATTACAAGAATCATTTTAACAACATTTCATTTAGACAATTAGTTTCTTTATTTTTCCCCAAAGTAATAATCGTTGTGTAAATATATATATATATATATATATATATATATATATATATATATATATATATATATATATATATATATATATATATATATATATATATACATAAGAAAAGCTTTCGGAGAGAAGCCCTCCCCCCCAAAATAAATTAAATCCTGGATCCGTTAGTGTTTTGGGGTGAAATCATTTTAGTGATATTTCTAGTTGAAAATTTTATATTTGTACAGACAGTAAGTTCATTCCTCAGTAGGTGATTACAGTGTTAAAATATAGAACTGTGATCAAAAGTATAAATTTTCCCACTAGAAATATCACTAAAATTAGTAATAAGAAATGTTGGAATTGGAGTTGGTTATTCTGTCAACTGAAAGACTCAAATTTAAGTGTGTGAGACGTGGACACTAACCAGCAGTCTAATTGAAAGATTGAAAGAAGAATGATGACCAATAAATGTTTAAAGTTTAATAGCATATGCTATATAAAGCTATATATAGCTTTTATTTCTTCTTTTAAATGAACAAATTTTTAGAACTCATCTATAACAATGCTCAGAGAACGCTTTCTGGTCCCATTTGGCAGGATCTCGTTGGACTAATGAACGTGAATAAACGTTTCATAAACATGAATGTTCTTGTGAACGAAAAATGAAAGCAATTTACTATTATATAATTGATTATAAAATGTAGTAGATAAACAAATGTAATGATTGATGCTATGTGAGAAGACGTAAAGAAAAAAAAAATTAAAGAATTTTGTATTTTGGTTTTTATTTCCGGAAAAATTTGAGATGGCAAAGTTGAACATAGTCATTCAAGTATTAAACATGAATTGATTTATACAAAGAATAACATAAACTTTACTTTTAAGAACAATAATTTCGATTTTTTTTTCTTTATGAATTGTTATCCTTTTTATCCAATAACACTTTGTGTATTTCCCAAAAATTAGTAGATTAACTCCTGATTTTCATTTAATCAAATATCATTTAATCTTTATTTTCTAAATAATTAATCAAAAGTTTATGGGTGCTTTAATAAAATCTAAATCAACCACTAAGCTGTACGTAAGAAAAATAAAAATTCTCCATTTATTTTCTTATAATTATTTGTATTGTCTTGTTTGTTACGTTTAGAACTTTATACTATTAATAATCTTTTCCTCGTGTTTTCAATTATTTTTTTAGCCCGAATGTAATAGGCAATTTTATTTAGTACAATCTAATTACTTTGTTAATAATGTTTTTAATAACATAAATTAAGAATAACGTCTGTAATATATGAAAAAAATCGATTTTTCAGTATTCCTAATAAAATTATCTAGAAGCAATATGGTGCTAAATCAATAAAGCTTCCCCTATTTCCCAAGAGGACACACTGATTAATTAATTTCACATCTTTGAATGTGTTGTTATGATAAATTTTATAGTTATATTTATATATATTATATTTTATAATCATAGTTGATAATTATTTAATCATACAAAGTAAAAACATTTTTATATTTCTCTGCATATTTTGTTCTTTGTTTTTAAATAATATTGCAAAACAATTGGCAGTGTTTTTTTACATTCACTTACCTAATTATGAAATATATAGTAGTAAAAGGTGGGAGAAAGTATTACGATCCTGAAAATTTTCGAAGTGAGTCTTCAAAGTAAATACACTTTTTGAGCTCCTTGGAGCCCAAATAACCAAATTTCACAAAATGAGCTGGTTGTGTGTAAGAATACTCTAGCTCAAAAAAGAAAACTGAAATTAAGTTCTTAAATTAAGTATATGTCTATGATGTTACAGCAACTTTTTCCCTCAAATCAACTAGCAGGAAGTGGCACTTTATATCATCAATTTTACACATTGTTACGATTTTCTCAAAAATGGCTCCAGAAATTTTGATTAAATTCATTATCTTTAGGTAAAATTAAGTGGTCAATTATGTTGGACAGGTATTATTGTCATTGAAATAACCTGGCATAGCTTAAAAGCTAAATTTTCAAAATTAAAGTTAATTTACTTTTGTTTAATTAAAATAATTAATCATTCGCTTTGTAATCAGTAATATAAAATGGATAAATATAAACTATGAAAGGCTTTGATAAGTAACTAAATGGAAAATAAGATAGATAATGTGGGAATAAGAATTACCAAAGAAACAAGAGTACCACCTCGAACAATTGTATAGATTATGGAACATACAAATTAAATTTATTTAACAGTGTCTAACAAATAAAAATAGAAAAATAAAACATAAATAAATATATTGGTCTTCTTTACTACTGGCACTCTTTTCATACTAAAAAAATTTGTGGTATTTAATTATTTATTATAGTTAAATATATATTCAAAATATACAGCCGTAGTGACAAAAATACATTAATTTGGTAGATTAGACAGGTGGGAAAAAAATGGTAATAAATTGTTTTAAATAATATATTATACTTACATCTGGTACATTATGATACGATTTTTACTTTCACTTCCTTATGTATGAAAATAAATATTTTTCCTCAAATTATGGTGGCAAGTGAAAATTATGTAATGTACCCACTACACTAATTTTTTTTAATTACATCATCTTACCTCGAAAAACCTTCTTTATTGTTCAATACTTAGAATTTACCTTCAAATTCATTTTAAAAAACAAACAAAAATCCCAAAGGAACAAGAAGAGAAAGACCAAGAGGTACATGGCAGAGTTGTGTACAAAATGATCTGAGCTTAGGATGGCAAGACTGGGTCAAAAGCAAAATGATTGCTTCAAAAAAAGCAAAATTGATCTCACCTGTAGATGCCCTATGCTTCACCATGAGTCAATGACAATAATCCACACATATATTATTACAGTAATGCTCGAAATTGGTTTTGTACCAATTTCCTGTCATGCTCAAATACTATGAATGGGGTAACGTTGGATTCAGAATTTCATGGGGGTTTAGCGAATCGAACTCTCCAATTTTATTTTTATTTCTAAAAATCGGTATAAACATTTTGCTAAACTTCAATACTGGAACGGTGGTAAGTCTGTAGATCGATACGGGACAAATTGGGCTTTGAAGATTTTGATGCACACAGCAAGACACGGATAGTTCCTTCTTAACACCAAAAACGTACTATTTTTGAGATAATGCAAGGTAAAGGGTTTGAATCCACACAACCTTACGTTAATTATAGTACTGTCATTGAATATATGTCTCATTTCGTCGAATTGAGGCCCCTATGAGAAGGATTTCATATTATTTATCGAAGGGGTATTTTACAGGTAAGCCACACCATCGTTAATTCTTCATCAAATCCCAAGATTGAGTCACCAATTTTGAAGGTTTCCTTCTCCTTCAGGCAGGCAATAGTCCAATCACCAAGAAAATTTAAGCAAAAAATGACATGAAAGAAAAGGAACTTTATTTGCGAATAAAACAAAAATTACACAGTTTCCCCTTGTTATGTCCATAATTATATAAAAGATTACTAAATTCCCTAAAAAAGGGCGGAAAAATCATCGAAATCGGACTATTTTTAGCAAAGATTATTTAAATTTGTAAACATGTTGGTTCCAAACATTTTTTTTTTTTTTCCAACCCCCCAGGAATTTTATTTGCTATACAAAAATACAATATATAAATGCACAAAGAAATATATACACAAAAATTTCTAATTTCCTTTTATTGCCCTTTAAGGACATTTTAAGGTAAAAGGGCTATGCGCGCTGTATGCGTACTTTGCATCTGTGACCAGAGGCCTTTTATTTTACCACTGGGCATGGAGGGACCGCCCTGCATTAATTTACCAAACATTAATGAAGTTTTAAATTAAGTTTTGTTTCCTTTGTCGATTATATTTAGCTAGAAGGTAACAATTGATTTCTTTATGATAAGTTGCATTGTTTTATTTTCTAATTAATTTATTATTTGATCAATATACAATATACTGAGTGAATTTTCGCACAGGCCTACAAGTAATAAATAATAATAATAAACGAGTACCCTTTGTTTCCGTTGCTGTATAATTATTACATTACTGTTATCACTAAAAGGGCATTCTTAACTTTAATATAAACCTTAAGTCTAGGATTGTTTCCAATCTTATTTGATAGTTGATCAACTTTGATGGTCTCTGCTCAATATTTTATTATTTAAATTTATGATAATACATAACTATGAATACTGAGCATTAACTGAAATGGTTGAAAAAGGACAGTTATTCACATACAAAAACATATGTTGCAAATATTTATGTTTTATTTAATTACATTTATATATATACATATACATAAATATACAATATTTTTCATATAAATCTGTTTTATGCAATAATGAAGAAGATTATCTATACAAATTGTTCACACATGTTATGATAATAAAATACCACGCAATGATTCTTCATCTTTTTCTCTTACATTTTCAAGATGAGATTTTGAAAATGAAATAGACCTAAGCAAAGCAGAATAACTCAACGAAGCCTCTAATTCATCAGGTGAACTTTGAGATGACAGGCTAACTTGCTAAAATATGAAAAAAAAACAACTATTAATTAAATATTAAAATAACAATAACAGGTATTTACCTAATTAATTGGCTTTATTTATATTAGCAAATTAATAATCTCTAGAGACAAACTTTAATTATGTTAACAGTGTAGAGATGTTAAAATGTTTTAAGTTGATATTAAAAACAATTTAATAATACACTGATATACCAAGTTTAATCAAAATCGTTAGAGCCGTTTTTGAAAAAATCATAAAAATGTGTATCACCATTCATATAATGTGGCACTTTTGGTTAGGCAATTTAAACGAAAAAGTTGCTGTCAAATCGGAACCATATACAAACCTTAAATGCACAATTTAAGTTTTGTAAGACTTTTCGTTTTTGAGCTAGGCTGTTCAGCAGACCATTTTGCAGGACTTGGTTATTTCAACTCTGGGAACTTCAAAACATGTATTTCTGTTGAAAACTGAGATTCGAAAATTTTCATGATCGCAATACTTTCCCTTACTATGTATTCCATATATACAAAATTGGTAAATGGTTGACTGTCGTGGATAATGAAGAGAAGAATAGTTGGGGTGGTCAGTCAAAAAAGAAGGCAAAAATAAATAATAATATTTCTTTTTACATATGCCGACGTTTCGACCTGAAGTTCAGGCCTTCATCAGGGCTAAGAAAATAACCAGATAACAAGGTATGAGAAACATAAGTAGTGATGGCAAAAAAAAAAAATAAATAAATAAATAAAAAAAAAAAAATAAATATAAAGTAAAATGAAATAGTTAGAATAATGACTAAGAACTAAGAGATAAATAATAATAACCGTTACAAAGTGTGTAATGATGAAGTAGGCATAATCAAAAAGGGTGACATAAGTGTTACAATGGGAATCTTAGAATTAAATGTAAAACATAAAAAAGAAATATGAAGTTATAAGAAATGAAAATAAATAGTAAAATTAAGACATTGAGAATGGAGTAGTTAGATAGAAAATTGAGATATTGTAAAGTCTATCAAGATTTACAGACAATGTATAATATAATAAAGAGTTAAAAAACAGAGAAAAGAAATGAAAGGAAGGAGGGAAGAAATTGAGAAAGCTAAAATAAGAAAGAAATAAAAGAATTCATATTCCATATATAGGTAAATGAAAGTAAAAATCATAACTATCTCTATCCAACAAGGAAAAATGACTTAATTTATTATAATTAAGGCCCAGATTTATAGGTAACAAAAATAATTTAAATTTAACATAAAATTTGCAACCAAATAGTCAAAGAAGGTAATTAATATAAAATATTGAGTCACTAAAACTTTTTAAAAAATGATCTTACTATAAAACAAACTATTTCAATATTTATGTTTTTCATACTTACGACTTTTATTATAATATTTTAAAATTATTTTAACTTCTAATAGTGAACAGGGGTAACTTCCTAATGGGACCCCCAAGAGGGATTTAGTATTAATTTTTTTAATAAATGATAATTCTAATGCAAAAACATTTTTTTTCAGACAAGAATGTATTGTTTAAATATTAAAAAAAAATATATATTTTTGTTGGGGTGTCTCAAACATTACTACTGATGAGACCAGACCATTCAGTTTTAAGCAAAATAACTAAAGTCTTGAAATATTGGCATGATTCTAATTGCATTTTTTGATTGATAAAACTATAAAAAATGTTTTCAGATGTGTTTAATTTTCTGGGAGGATCTTTTTTATGCTGTTTATTAAAATATTAATAACTCCTCAGGATTTTCTCCTAAGTCAAAGTTACTACAACTGTTGGAAAGCTAAATTATTGCTCTTCAAAACTATACCAATAACTTTCAGATTTTATGGAATAAAGAAACAAAAACTCGCCAAACTTTTTTATTTTTTATCTTCAAGCCTAATTTATTGGGTTGTGCCATTTCGTGTATATTATAGGGCCCTAAATGCATGCAAATTTTCATTTTGAATTAGTAGAGCCATGCTGAACTTATCACAACTTGTGAAAAAAATCCTTCCAGAAAATTAAGTTCAAAAATTTGTTTTTTTATTTCAAAACAAACTCGTATTTAACAGTTTTAGTGGACCCTAAAAACAAATATGAATTACTTTTTCATGACAAAAATTTATTTGGCCTAGTTTACTGGAAGCATCTTTGGAAGCGTGTTTTTGTACATTAGAATTTGTTCAAAACAGTTAGCAATATTGTTTTGGATTAAGTATTTATAATAATATAAAATAAGGCTGTGTTTCTACTTCACCACATTTATTCCACTTTAACATCTACATCGGCCACGTTTCGGATAGTAAGCCATTTTCAAGCCATTTCATTTAATCATGCTTATTACATGTAGATTGAATCTCATTATGGACTACATGTAATAAGCATGATTAAATAAAATGGCTTACTAGTCGAAACGTTGTGGATGTAGATGTAAAAGTGGAATAAATGTGAATTAAAAAAACAGCCTTGTTTTATAATTGTTTTCTTATTTAACATACAAAAACAAATCTATTGATATATAATAACTTAAAAATCCATGCAGAGCAAAGTCAGGAAACATTATTATAAAAAAATAATAAAATTTTATAAAATATTTTTTTCTTGGCTTCTTTTTTGCATTGGCAAGAACCTTCGGATATGGGTTAAATATTTTTCGACTTAGTATCACCAAAAAAAGTTTCATTGAAATTGGTGACCCCATGTCCCTAACCTCCCCTTGTAAGACATAACTATGAAGTAAGTTAAGAAGCTGCTAATGAAGATGTTCTGCTTTCCAAAACGGAAGTAGAGTAATCACCTCACTAAATCCCAAATGTTATTTTGGAAGATATAGATGAATGAGTGAACTTGAAACAACAGTCTCAAAACAGGGGGAATGGTGGAAGTGTTTTATTATCAACCTTATGATATGATAAATTTTAAAGATTAAAGTATCAAATAGTGTATTACCTCAAATTTTGTCCATACATATCCTTTACATTTCCTAACACCTGGAGAGGCCTGTATCAAATGATGTACCGTTGGATGTGACATACCAAAGAAATCTGCTCCTCGACCTTTAGTGTTTACTACTTCAGCACCAAGGCAATTATTTATCAATTGTAGAAGCATTGAATGGCATTCATCGATAGAACCACTGACGAGGGGTACATCAAGGTCTGTGTCAGCAACTATTTCAAATCTGTAAAAGAGAATTTATTTCATTTTATAAACAATATTAAAGAAGAAAACACCACAGCAATCTCTCACTGATCATATGTTTAAAATGATGAAATTTAAGCAATTTTAATTTTAAATTAGAGAAAACTGAAAAAAAATATTACCTAGGAGCTTGACCTCCATCCATGACCTTGCACGTGTAAACACACTGCTTTTCAGGGTCCTTTAGGCTTCCATAAATCCTAGTAGAGCAATACCCGACAGGATAAATCAGCTCCTCTGTATGATATTCACTTTTATCACAAACCTTAAAAAGAAGAAATATTAAAACATCCTTTCTTCAGTCTACAATGAATATTATGGTAAGAAACGTGTAGTAAAATTAAAAACGTATCTACTAAAAAAATAATTATAATAAAATCCTACATTTTACAAAATAACATCACAAATAGGAGGTTCTTTTGATTCTAGATTTAAATTGTAATTTTTTTGGGTAGCTCCATGAATTCACACTTTGAAGTTTTTCTACACAAAATGGTATTTTTTTTTATTTTTAAATTTGAACTCAAAATTCACAGTTTTATTTACAAATTTATCTGTTATTCATGAAAAAACAAATCAGTAATGACACAAAATTGATAATATTCAGTTAAATAATTGATGATACAAACAACACAATTATTTGTATCTTGGCCATTAATTCTAAAGTTTGGATTGGTAATTGATGTATTATTTTTTGGGAAAAAACTCAAACCAAGACAAAGTGTTACTTTGTATTAGAGATCGATGGAGCGCCTTATTTACTGAAAACTGGAAGGACTATTAAATTGTTTAATCACAATACCATAAATACTACTGTACAGCAAATGGAGAAAAATAGGTTATAGAAAAAAGCCATAAAACTTTCACATAAATTTTAAACTTGCATTAAGCAACACGGCTTTATCAAGCCTACTATGAATTCAGATAACTTCATTCAATTTACAGAATCAGCGAAGTATATATATACAATCATTACATGACTAAATGCAAACGATTAAAAGAATAAAATCTGGAACTTTTATTATTTCTGAAGGGATCAATAATAACAAAATAAAAAAACTGACTTGACAGAAAGTATATTTAGTTTCATGGCTTTACACTACATAGCATGATGTTACAAATCCTAGTTTCCTTATAAACAGTTAATATAGAACAAAAAGAATTTTTCAAACTGGAGCAGTAACATGATGAAACAAAAAACTCTTTAAACCTTGTTAAATTTGTTTAGATATATAATATTGCTTACTTGTAAACCCAAGAGTTAAAGCGATTTTGTTCAATCATATTTTTTTCCTTTAATTGTATTGAAAATTTTAATATATTCTATTGAATCCATTTCTTTGCAAAAAGGAGCTTGATTAAATGGCTATTGATCCTTGAGATGAGGGTTCAATATCCCAGGACCCCTTTTGATTTCTAAAAAGGACCAACCTTGTAATAGAGTGCAAATTAAAAAGAATTGAGGAATTGAATATATATATTTCAAATTTAAAAAATTATTAAAAAGAAAAAGATTCTGATCAGGCAAAAAAAAAAACAAAAAAACTTTTAATTGACACAAAAAAGTTAATTTAATTTGTAATAAAACTCCAAAATGTCTATAGTCTCAACTTTCATATATTTACTCTGCTCCAACATTAAGCATATTAGGCCATTATCAAATATAATCATTTAATACTATTCAAATCACTTTGAATGTTAATGTGCCCAAGTCCCTCTAATTTTTTATTATATATAAAAAAATACATGCATCGTACAAAAGCTTTTGAATATAAATTTTATATCAATCAAACATAAAAAAAAAGTTTAAAAATACCTCTCCAAGACTGTGCACAGTAAAATCCCCTAAGACTATAGGAAAAATTGGTTTTCCATTTGCATCTAATGGAATAGAATTGACAAGTTTTTTCTTCTTACACAAACTGGATGGTTTCTTACTACTTTTAGGTGTTTTGTTTACTTCTGTAAATAAACAAAATTATGACATTTTGAAAAAAAAAAATTGTTACAAGTAGCTTTTCATAAAAGAAGAAATAATAAAATCTGCAAAAATCTTCACCAGATGAGTCAGAAGCTATTCTATCATTGCGCCGCTTCGTTGACCCCTTCTTAACAGATCCATCAGTACTGTGGGACATTCCTTGAGTGCGATAGTGAGAATCATTGTCTGCAAAAAGAAATATTTATGATAAAACCTTCAAGAAAAAGTAAAGTAATACTATTAACTATACAATATACTAATAATAAATAAGGTAACATAATACTTATTAACTGAAGCAATTTTTATTTACAGCTTTTTTGTTTATAAAAAAATTTTTTTGTTTATATTAATCCTCACCAACTTATTAAAAATTACAGAATATTAAATATAGTAATATACTTAATAGATTATTATGCCCTTGATAAATGAGTAAAACTAGTTTCAATTCAAGAACAAAAAAAAATTCAATAAATTTAAAATACTGATGTATAAAGCATAAACTTCATTTTTCAAATAAAGAAAGAACATACGAAATTTGGCTCTGAAACGGAAATATTATTAAATCATGAAAAGGATTCATAATTTAATATATGTGACTATTATATTAATATATGTCAGTTTTTAACGCTGTCGACTCAAAAGGAACAAATTCAACATTGACAGTACAACCTATATTTAATCATATGTATCTACTTAATACTTAATATTTCTTCATATTTTGGCACAAAAGGAATTGAGCTGCAGTAGAAGAAGAACTATAATAAATAGATTATTTATATCCAATGGCACAAGTCATTTCTAATTTATCTGATGGTATACAATTATAAACAATGCTTAAGGTTTCAGAATTTAAAGATTATAAAATATATAAAAAACAACAACCGTTATTTCTAAATTAAAGAAAATAGTATAAAAAAACAATCACTAATGAGAATTTATTTTTCTTTACCCATAAGCTGCAAGGTGATGGTTCAAACGAACTCGACTCCATGAAGATTTTCTCTCCTTCAAACAGCACTCAATCAGCAGTACGCCGTGCTAAATCCTGTTACTACTATCATATCTTATCTAACTCTCCTAATACCAAGGCCACGTGGACTATTCTCAGAAAACTGAACACTGATAATACACCTCAGTCCCAGTCCATTTCCGTTTCTGCCGATAACCTCAACGCTCACTTTGTCTCCTACCCTTTCGCAACCACAACTCCTGTGTCCGATCCGGCTCCCATGTTTTCCTCTTTTAATCCTGATCACTTCTTTTTTTCCCACATTACCCCTGATGATCTCCTAAACTCCATTCAGAAATTACATACTAATGATTATGGTCCCGATAACATTCCAGTCAAATTGATCAAAGTCGCACTACTATCCATTCTTCCGATCCTTTATCATATTTATAATTATTCCCTTCAAAATGCCACCTTCCCTACATCCTGGAAAACCGCCCTAGTGCACCCCTTGAAGAAGACCTCTAACCCATCAACCTTTATTGATTTCCATCCAATTTCCCTTCTTTCAAACCTCTCCAAACCTTTGGAACTACTAGTCCAATCCCAGCTATCCCACTTTTTAGAGCAGAATAATCTCCTAAACCCCTACCAGTCCGGCTTCAGGCCTGGCTACTCCACTCAGTCTGCCCTAATTAAAATTTCCCAAGACCTTCATACAGCCATAGATCAGTAAAAACTAACCATCCTTATTCTCCTTGACTTCTCTAAGGCTTTTGATTCAGTAGACCACAACATCCTCCTAACCCAATTCAAAATATATCCTTTTCCTCTAGTGCCCTTAATTGGTTCTAATCCTTCCTAACCGGTTGCTCCCAGTATGTTGTGATCCTTGATAGCCCCCCGTCTAAATCTCTACCTTTGTCCAGAGGTGCCCCACAAGGCTGTTCCCTATCCCTCACCCTTTTTTCCATCTATATAAATGACCTCCCATCCTCAATCCTCCACTGTCAATACCACTTGTATGCTGACGATGTTCAGATTTACCTCTCCTTCAATCCGACCGATTCCTCAAATGCCATTCTAAAAATCCAAGAAGATATTGATAGAATAAGTGAATGGGCAAACCTTAACAGGCTCACTCTGAACGCTAAGAAAACGAAAGCCATCTTGATTGGATTCCCCACACTCCTCAAATCCTTCCCGACATCCCTCAATCTTCTCCTGAACAACTCACCTATCTTATTCGATACTACCGTTAAAAACTTAGGTGTCACTTTTGATCAAACCCTCTCCTGGAAACCGCACATCTCCCAAATTTCCCGCCGCACTATCTCCACCTTAAAACAGTTCAATCGCTTACGTTATCTCCTTCCTTATAAGTCCCATCAACTCCTAGTTTCCTCTCTTGTTTTCCCCCACTTCGACTATGGCTGTATGGTGTAAAGTGGACTCTCAGGAGATCTCGAGGCCAAACTTAAACACCTAATGAACTGCACATTACGTTTTGTTTTCGGAATTTCAAGAGATACGCATATTACCCAGTATTACACCGAGTTGAAGTGGCTCTATCTATCCTATCGCCGTCAGTAATTCCTAGCTAACTTTCAGTACCAGATCATTAGAACTCATCGACCCTCCTATATTTTCCATAGCTTACAACTTAAATACTCCATCCAATCCCATCCTACTAGATCTCGCACTTCCGACCTCTATCCACCTCCTCACTGAACTGGTGCGTGTGACAAATCATTTGCAATTCAAGCCACCTCAATCTGGAATTCCATCCCTGCTGATATTCATCATACGCAATTAGTTTCAAACACCTCCTCTTTAAACACCTACACCTTTCCCAATCCGCCTGATCACAACAAGTACTTAAAAGAGCTATCTAAGTACCCCCAGAAAATATTTCTCTTACTGTAGTTTTCTCCGTTTGCATTATGTACGCTTGATGTATGATTATTATGTATGTATATTTGAGCTTTTTATGTCTTTTCTCTCATTCCATCTGTATTTTTTTTTTGCTTTTAAATAACCATATTGTAAACATCTACTCTATTTGACCACTTACACATGAATTTAGCACTTGTAATTTGTTCTAAAGGGACAACAGTCCCAGAATAATAAAATATATTTTCATTTCATAAGTCAAGTAGCGGGGTAGCTCACTAAGCTTCCAATGCTCAATATCAAAGGTTCGAATACCAGCTCATAACAAAAAAATTATTTATTCTGTTTCATTGGCTGTGAGGCGACCATGAGATTCGGAGACCCTCCTGGGGCTTTAATAAATTGGGAACCCTTAATTAAATAATTGATTAAGGGGGAAAACCTGGCGGTTAAGCGTGTTCCTCACCCGATCCCCTCCCTGCACAACCACTGGCTTTAAACAGTACCTTCCCTAAATAGTACTGAAACCAAGACCCTTCATGGGTTGTAGTAGTACAGTGTTGTTTTTTTTTTGTTTTTGTTTTTTTGTTATTTTTTAGGTTATAAGTCAAGTAGCAAATGAAATTCAAACTTCAGAAATTAAATAGTAAAATTGGTATTACTCCCCAAGTGTGGCTAATGTACCAATGTGACAACTGGGGAAAAAGGTCATACCTAACGCACTGTAGATGGATAGATGAAAATAGTGGAGGAATCAGAATTCTCCATTTACTTTCAGATTTTCATCTGAAGTACAATCAATGTTATTTTGAGCTGTCATCATGGAGAAACACTTTGGGATTACATCCTCAAATTTTCTGAAGATGTAATATAATGTAGGAACTCTGCACCGATTTCAAGTCGAGAAGTGGTAGGTAATTATTTATTCTGTTCAATAAAGTGTGGATCAACCATGGGATCAGAATACGCTTCTGAAGCAAACAGCCTCAATAAAGTGGGCACTCTTGAATATTTACTTAAGTGGAAAACTGGTGGTTCAGTGTGATCTCAGTTAAATCGCCTCCTGTAATACCCTTTGACCAATATAAAAACTACAAAAGATTAAAAAAATCTGATGATTTGTCCTCACCATCTAGTTTTGAATACACTTAGCTATTTTAAAAATTCCATACATAGTGTGATTGAGGTGACTGCAAGAGTAGCACTTTAGAAATAGAATCTAATCTCTAATTCATACTTGGGTACCATTTTACAAATTTTACTCCACCTTGTCTATATGACCAAGATCACTTGTTCGCAGTATAAATATGGTTCCGAGAATATCTAGGATTTACAATGTATTCCTATTCGGTGAACTCCCTACCATTATTTTTCATTTAAATTCAGGGTGCTAATTAGTTTTAATTATATCTCTGCTTTCCACTTCCACTCACTATGCTTACTTTAAAGGAATAAACAAACTCCCAACAGGTCCTATTTAGTAGAGCTTGGGGCTCACCAGAGGACTGTTAGTTCCGTCTATTTCCAAATGTACTTGATCATTATCAAAATTCCAATTATACTTCAATCAAGGGATTTGGCCCATCGGATAAGATGGAGCGACATTAATACAGTGTTACTCTTATTAGTTCTACAAATGAGAATGATTCCTGAAAAGTAGTCATAATGGTAATTATTTAGATGAGAACCGCATGGGTCATGCGTGGATCACAATCACTTTGGTCACACTTGTTCACGAAATGGCGAAAACAGCCATTCGGATAAAGTTGGGTGCATTTGACACTGTATGAACAAGTGTGGCCGAAGTGATTGTGAAACACATGTAACCCATACGGTTCTCATCTAAATAATTACTGTCAAAATAATGTGTAATGGCCATATTAACAGACTAGATGATTTACACATTAATGAAAATAAGTAAAGAATTATTAATGCAACAATAATTTAACTAATAAAATATAAAACAAGTTTAATATAATTTTGTAAGATATGGTGAGACTGATTAAAATAACCTAAAAAACAAAATATTGTATATAGTCAATATTCAGGTATCTTGAAACTTTTACAATAATTCAAAAATACCTCCATATGGCTGATATTGTTGAAGTTTTTTCCAGAGAAAATTCCTTTCTTCAATCAGCAACAAAGTTTTCTCTTGCAATATAGCAATTTGATCACATAAAGCAGCATTCTCCTAAAAAAATTAAGTCTTGTGTCACAAATAATTCTAGTAAATGCGCATGCTTAAGAACGCAATACTATCAATTGATAATTACAAAAATAAGTTCCTGCACCATCTTTTTCATCTTCTTGTATTTCCTTTTATAATTGTCATATTTGGACATTTCTTTAAAACTACTGTAACTAATAGGTTCGTTTTTAGGTGAAGATGTGGGATTTAGTTTAGGTTTATAACGCAGCATTTCGCCAGTCTACAATTTCTGCTAAAATAAACTAGACGGCACAATCACATAATAATAACATGTCAGGAAGTATTCAAATTTCCGTAGTTTAATAATAACCCAAAGAGGTTCATCTCTTTTGGCATAGAGCTAAGAATTAGGTAGTGAATAATGAAGAGAAGAATAGTCGGAGTGATCAGTCAAATAAGAAGGCAAAAATAAATATTATCATTTATTTTTGCCTTCTTATTTGACTCATCACCCCAACTATTCTTCTCTTCATTATTCACGGCAGTCAACCATTTACCCACAATTAGGTAGTGAATACTTGATGGTTGACCGTTGTATATTTTTGAGAAAAGCGATGGTCCTGGGTGGCGATCATAAAAAGACTAAAATAGTGAAAAACTATTTTATTTCAAGCCAACGTTTCTACCCGAACTTGCAGGTCTTCTTCAGGGCCAGAACGAACAAGATACGAAAGGATATAAAAAATGTGGTTGTTTCATGATATTTAGATAAAAAATTATAAACAATGTGAAAAACTTACTAAAAGTATGAACAGTGTGAACAGAGAGCACATACAAATATTAAGAACAATAAACTATATAAACAGAGTAAACGAACTGTAACTAAGTAACCAGAACCTAACCTGAAGTAAATAAATGGTAACAATTATTGTAGATAGGGAAAATTGTATGTAATAAGGAGGATGGAAAATATACTAAAACAAAATAATATGGATATTATAAATAAAATAGTTTTTTTCACTATTTTAGACTTTTTATGACCGCCACCCCGGACTATATCCTTTCTAATGTCATAAAAATTAATATTTCATAAGCACTTTATTACTTGGTCAGTAATTTAATTACTTCAGAGTTTCTACTCATTCGAATGAGAACCCGAAATCGACTTTTCCACTTTTTTGCTAAGTTTATAGATACGAATGTATTACGTCTTTCAGGTCTTCCAGGGCCAAATGATCATACCAAGTCCTGTTACCATTGGGTATTGAAAACAGTAACTGAGATGAGCTATACGTACAAGGAAATCTATCAAGAACTATTGAAATCAAAACGCAATCCTGTAGGTCTAAATATAATAGATATAAATTTGATGGCATTTTATGATATGACTGGTAATGGAATACATCTTTTTGCCAATCAAATTTATGAATCGACAGATTCATTCAAATATATTATATAATATTCGCCAAGATAGGTGTGGAACGGTTTGGTCGGTCAATTATTCTCTGTGCTTCAATGAACTAGTATTTGTTTTGTATTATCGGTGAATAAAATCTCGAGGTTCGAAAAGGAATAAATCCCAACTTACGGAAGGTATTTCTTATCAACTCAATGGTGCTTCCTAAAGGAGACTGAAAACAATACTCGTGCAAACTCGTCTAAACGAAATGGATTTGCATCATGTAAACCAGCGAGCGTTTATTGCTTCCGATGGCACTGCAGAAAATATATTCTCATTACAGTCAATAATAGACGACTCTAAAATGAGAAAGAAGGAAATCCATGTAACGTTTATGGATATTGCCAAAGCTTTTGATAATCTGAGCCATAATGCACTTTATAGAATCTTAGAATGGAAGGGTATGCCAGCTGGACTTATTGGTTACATGAAGGGGCTATATAGCAAATGTTATACCCGCATTACAGACAAAAAGCAGCATACGGATCCTATTGTATGCGGAAGAGGTATAAGGCAGGGTGACCCATTATCCCCTAGTCTCTTTAACATGGCAATGGATTGGGTAATCCATTCCCTTCCAGATGGAATAGGCTACGATATGGGAGGAACAATGGTAAACTGCCTGGCATTTGCAGACGACCTAGTCTTAATCACATCCTCATCGAAAGGCATGAAAAGATTACTATCGGATGCAGCTGCAGCTATTCAAGATCTGGGAATGGAATCCAACCCAGCCAAATGCTTTAGCTTTTCTCTCGTCAAGGCCGTCAATTCTAATGTTATGAAGGTTGATAACAGATATCATTTCGTAGTAAATGGCGATAGAATCAAGCAGTTGGGTATCTTGGATTGCTGGAAATACCTAGGAGCGAAATTTTCGTTGAACAACATGAATGCCGAAGGGATTATCGATGAATTATCATTATTGCTGCACAAAACAAACACTGCACCCCTAAAACCTCAACAAAAATTAGTGACTTTGAGAACTTATCTCATCCCGAAATTCATTCATCTCCTCACACTGAGCCCAAGCAAAATGAACGAGTTGAGAAAGTTGGATATCTCAACGAGAGCGGCAATACGTTCCTGGCTGCGACTGCCTCAGGATACCCCTACTCAGTATTTCCATTCTGCTTGTACTGATGGTGGTTTGGGAGTAATGAGCTTTAGCAGTGCTATACCCTCACTCAAGCTCGCGAGGTTACGACGTATGGAGTACTCTGGTTGCCCAGTAGCAAGAGCCGCCTATCATTCCTCCTTTATCACTAAGGAAATGAGAAAACTCACAAGCAACCTCACGAAAATGGGCCTCAACGCGGAAAACACTTCCAGTGAAGAACGAAAGAAAACGCTTTCCATGAAGTTATATCGTAGCGTTGATGGTAAGGCATTAAGGGAGTCAAAAAAACTGCCACCCATCAACTCATTGGTTGACAGACTACGCGGCTCCGATAACCGGACGGACCTTCATACAGACGGTAAGAACTCATATAAATGCCCTCGCGACCCGAGTGAGATTATCCAGAGGACGTAGGGCTTTTATGCCGACCCAATGCAGAGCTGGGTGTCCTGCAAGCGAAACTGCCAGCCATATTATTCAACATTGCATTTTGTCTCACGGTGGTAGAGTGCGCCGGCATGATACAATAGTGAACATGTTGGAAATTGCTCTCCAAAAAAAAGGATACAGGGTCACAAAGGAGCAAATGTTTGTTGGTAATAGACGAAGGTGGAAGCCAGACCTGGTGTGCTCAGGACTAAGCGGACACTTCATTATAGATGCACAGGTCGTCGGGGATAACCCTAGCACCACTCACTGGAACAATGTCAAAGCCAATAAATATAGGGACCTAGATTGCAGGATGGCGATCGGGCGTACACTGGGAGTGCCAGGCGTGGACATAAAAGTACTGCCGCTCACAATAACTTGGAGAGGAATATGGTGTCGAAGATCTTTCCAAGACATGGATATGTTGGGAATTCCCAAGAGAACGATGAACGCTATTACAATAAGAGTCCTTAAAGGGTCCCACATGAATTACAGTAATTGGTTCAGGCTGCTTCCTCGTTTATAGCATGATACTCAATGATTATATCGATGTCATAATTTACATTTTTACGTTTTGTTTTATTTATCTTTATTTTTTTTTTATTTTATCTATTTATTTGTTTCATTTTTATTCGTTTAATTTTATGTTTATTTATTTACTTTTTTTTTGTTTTTTTTTTTTTTGTTTTTTGTTTTTTTTTTATTTATTTATTTTATTTTATTTATTTATTTTTATTTTTATTTTTTTATTTATTTATTTTTTTTTATTTATTTATTTAGATATGTACTATAGTACTACTTTTTTATGACTTATATTGCGGAGGGTTTGCTACCTCCGTGGTTTTTAAAATTACTTTATATATAGTGTGTACTTTATGTATGTATATGAATGTATGTATATTTTTCTTTTATACTTTTATCGACGCAGCTGCTTTTTGTATGTAAATGCAATGCTCAGTATATTATAACTTAATATTAGTATGTTTTCTTTTTTTTCTTATATATGATTCTTGGATTCCAATATCCAAGATAAAACGTTACGATGGTGAAGGTAGCACCAAATTGAATTGGAAATTGAGAAAGGTCTGGAGTTTTGTTACTTCGAAAAATATATTAACTATGTATGAACTACCAAATAAATAAATAAAATACAAGGAAATCTATCAAGAACTATTGAAATCAAAACGCAATCCTGTAGGTCTAAATATAATAGATATAAATTTGATGGCATTTTATGATATGACTGGTAATGGAATACATCTTTTTGCCAATCAAATTTATGAATCGACAGATTCATTCAAATATATTATATAATATTCGCCAAGATAGGTGTGGAACGGTTTGGTCGGTCAATTATTCTCTGTGCTTCAATGAACTAGTATTTGTTTTGTATTATCGGTGAATAAAATCTCGAGGTTCGAAAAGGAATAAATCCCAACATACGGAAGGTATTTCTTATCAACTCAATGGTGCTTCCTAAAGGAGACTGAAAACAATACTGAAACTGTTACTGGTGGGGGAACAAGTCCAACAAGTAGTTCTTCAAGTTCTTTTTGTTATTTTGAGGTAGCGACCGCGTAATTGGAAGAGTTGAAGTGTCAAGATTCATTTCCCGGAATCACCAAGAAATAAATATTAACCAATCTAGTAGGGAATCGTATCCACAACGTTCAGAATCGGGCACTCGGTACCCAAGGCAGCAAACCGAACGGCCATTACGTCCTCAGACTAAAAAGAGCCGACTAGGAAGAAATAGATCTATTTTATTGTCCCTTCAACTAGATGAATGAAAGTCAGGGTCAAAAGTATTCGCACACCAGTTTTAAAACATAAGAAGTATTGTTATTATTATCAGAAATTAATTTATAATAATAAAATCATTTAATTTAACACCAACAATTTAATGAAAAAAAGATAGTTTTGATAATATGAAACACATAAGATGCCATATAAACAAATTTGTAATAAAAATATTCACTGAACAACAAAAGTCAAAAATATTCGTACACTTTATCATAATTCTTAATTTTTTCTGTTACTTTACTAAATTTATATTAAAACTTGTATTAATATTTACCAGAACCACCTGTTTCGTAGGTGAATATATTATTCTGGGCGTAAATCAATGGAAACTGAGACAGAAAAAAAATTTATAGGACGTCTACAATAAAAAGTGCTATTCCCGGAAATCGGATAAATAATGAACACATATCTCATTCCTTATTTTTAATTCATGGACTGGATGTTCTAGAAACACTAATCCCACACACAAAAAGGATATTATAGGAAAAGTGAAAAACCCAAGGATTAGAAACAAAACTATTAATAGTATAATAGTTGTCTCTCTATTTTGAATCTAAATTTTGTA